AAGCACTTTAAGAGAAACACAGGGACCTTTTTTTCCCTAACACCATAGAAGATGGATTCATTGCTATCAGTAATCCTCCCACAGCCCCAGTTTCAGAAGGAGCAGCAGATTCACAGATTTCAGCTGCAAAAACAAGCACTCTGCATCACTTCATTCATCTGTTTATTAAGATAAAGTTACTTCTATTAAAAAAAAAAAAATGGTAGAGCATTATCCTTCTTTAGAGAGGAAATAAAGTGAAAAAAAAGCAAGGAACTAGCAGTCTGTCCCACACCTTCTGGCAAGTTCTGGTGCACTGATGGTCAAACTGAGGTGTATAAACCCATTTTCAAGCAACAAGATTTCCTTAAGGATGAGTTTTCCTTTAGAATTCCCTTCCCAAGGGCCTGACACTTGTCTCAAGGTACCATGCTTTGCATGGCCTCATTGTTCAGCAGTGGATCCTCCTCTCCCCAGCACCAGGACACGTGCAGGAGGACAGGAGGAGAAATGAATAGGAAAAATCACAGTAGACATCATGGCAAAGCAAGAAGTGCCTTTCAGCAGGAGCAAAAGGGGCAGTTCTGTATGGACATTTACAGGGAGTGTGCCTCAAACTCAGCAGTCAGGGTGGAAGGGAGCTCAGAAGCTCAGAAGCCATAAAAACATTAAAAGGCCCAACACAAGAGCCAAGGCTTCACGATGGAAAGGATTTTTAGACTTTGCAATGAAGGTGAAGCTCAGAACAAAGACCTCAATGAATAATTTCATAAATGAAAAGAGAACTGGAGTGCTCTGGAAGCACATGAACGTAATTAATCACAATCCAACACCAGCCACTATCACTGATGCACAAGTCCTGCTTGAAGCCAGGGTCCAAACTCTTTTTTCAAATACAGCCTGCAGTATGACACATCTCAGAAAGCCAGACCACAGGCACAAGGCATGAGCCTGGCTTTGAAGTTCAGATACACCAGAAAATTACTTCACCTCCCTAGATGCAGAGGGGATAGTGCTGCCTTTGATGCTACAAGAAATTTTGGTCTTAAACTGCCCAAGGACTTCAAATTGGGTCTTGCAGCATGGCAACACCCAAGCCTACACATACACACGAACATAATTATGCTTGGTCTAGACTTGGGGGGAGGGGAAAAAAAAAGAAAAAGTATTTTCAGTGATGTTAGCACGCAAAGAAAATAATAGCACATACAAAGAAACCTCTAGGGTGACTTATGAAGAAGATTTTATGCTTGGCTTTCTGCCAATTAGAGAGGAATTAAAGTGTCTGGCAATATAACCCCGTTCATCCCAAGGAAGAAACTGCATTTTTAAGTGGTCAACAGAGCAAGAGGGATGAGAAAAAGGGACAAAGACTAAGAAGTGCAACTGCACAGAGCAACATAGGAAGTTTCTGATGGTACTGAGACAAAAAGTGGACACAAATAAATCAGATTTTTAAATTAATCCAGTCTATTGCCTCCAAAAGAAAATCAGCATGTAACAGCTGACTCCAAATGACAGTATTCCAATAAACCAGAGCAGTATTTTTTTGCTATAAAATTCCAACTGCTTCAATATTTTACTGATTATCCACCTCCACTGACTGCCAACCAGCAAAATCAGTGAAAGGTGGAGGTCACAAAAACAAAAGCAAACCAAGTGGAAAAGGCATGGCTAGACAACTTGGGAAGCTGAAAATATGTCAAAATACAGCCTTTGAGTAAGAAAGAACATTTAGTAGCTATCTGAAATGATGAATTTACATCCAAACTCTTTGGAGCTTAAAAATTCACATCATAAGACCAGTTTTTACCAGAATTAGGACCAGACTTGACATGCCCCAGTTTCCCCAAGGTTACTTTTAGAAACGTATCTACTCTTAAAATATTTCAAGTGCTCTTCTCATACTGCAGAAGAGCAACCAACACCTACCTTCTAATTTTACTTTTTTAGAATTATTTTTTTTTACAAGAACTTAACTTCAACACTTTTTTATCTGAATGACAGAAGGAATTTTGTGTCACATTGCAGGTTGAAAGTTACTGGAAATGGCAGCAAGCTGCTGTTGCTTATATTAAGTCATTGCAAGGAAAAGACAAAAGAAGCTACTGAAGCTTTCAAAATCAAGCCCTATAAAACACCAAAACCACAAAATGAACCAGAACTAGCTTAGGAGTTGCTAGCGATGTTTAAAGTTAATAAAAATTCTAAATTAAATGGCTGCCGCTTAGGTTTGCCAGAAAATTATGCAAATTTCCAAAGTTCATACATAGTAATTAGCAGAGCAAAAAGCAGGTCCCAAATAAGTGATGAAGTTAGCCTCGCTCTTATTTCTCCAGCAGATGGAATTAGCTATGTGTGAAGCTATTTTTTTTGCAATTGAAGATTAAACATATTATCCTGAATATCAATTCTGAAAGTACAGCACATTGGATATATGCATTCATGGAGCAGAAATATGCAAAAGCCCAGCCTGAATCTTTCTTTTCCATCATTCTGAACAGGACATTGAAGAGGCTGGGGGAAGGTTTACATATTTAAGACTTCATTTTTCAAACTGATTGCTGACAACTTGGTTGAGACAAGTTCTCTCAAAGTACATTTAGAGTTAATAGTCCAAACAGGTTTTTCCAAAGAAAAATGTCTTCCCTGACTGAAAATACATCCTCTTGATGTGCTAATTGACAGATCACAAAAAGTCACCCAAACTGCAAGTCCAAACAACATGTGTCAGCAAAGGCTCCTGGGTTTGCCCATTCCTTCTCCAAAACCTGGTTCAGAGGCATACCCATCATATGCTGTGTGATACAAATTCACCTTTTTCATACTTATGATGGATTTGCCCCTTGCTTCACACTTCAAAAGACAAAACCTCCCCCTCAGCCCTGCAGCTCGCCAGCAAGGGCTGAACCTCGTGTGTGCCCTTGACCAAAATACTCCACCTGTGCTCCTTATTCTCAATTTAATTTCTCCAGCTCTGGAACCCAGGGCTGCCCCACCACAGCAATTCCTCTCGAAGACACTGAGAGACCCAAAAATTTTCCTCTGGTGTCAGGCTGCATTTTATCTTTCTTAGAACAGCACAAGCCATGAAGGCTCGTATCAACACATCCATCCAGTTTAGGGGGCACACCCAGCAGTAGCAGGAGAGTCTTGAGAAGGTGCAGGAAGGACAACCAAAACCAAATTACTGTACTGACCACAAAGAAAGTGGATAAGCTTCTTCCTAAACATCAGCTTCCAAGCAGAAAACTGGTAAAAGAAGTAAAAACAAACTAAAAGTCTCTTCCTACATGAATATTACTTTCAGGCAGCCCAGAAAAGATTTCCAGAATCTGTGTGTGCTACAAAAAGAACCCAAAACCCACACCATTAAAGGAACATCGGGAGGGGAAGGTAAAGTTTAACGTTGATTTCAAAGTCAAGTAAGTGACACCCTGGATTGAATACTATTAACCAAAATTGTGCAAGTTAAAAGTGGATGTACTGAAAGCAGCAGAAACCCTGCCCGCAACAAAATGAGAATTCTCTTACAAAAATACTTTTGTGGCCAAATGAAACACTGAGTTTAAGTAAGAAAGCAAGCACTTACACCTATCGTGTTCTCCCCCTCTTCCTTCTCATCTAGGGAGTCTCATTTATCTCAAAGCAATCAAAAGAAAACACTTTGATTTTTAAAGTCAAAAAAGTTGCAGAAATTACAGCCCTGTCTGGCACGAACAAATAATATTTCTGAAATCAAAAGAAGATTCTCCAAGTTAGGGGAAGGGCAAAAACAGTCCTGAATAACTTAGTTTGCATAGCCCAGTTCCTGCCAAAACAGTTCTGCAAATCCCATGGCAGTTCAGATAATTTCCATTCTTAGAGCAAAAAAAAAAAAAGCTAGATCGAACATTAGCAACATTAATTGTGTGATATGACCTGAATGATGCAAGAACAAGTAGTTAAGTGAACCACAGGATCTGCTGAATTTTTAATCACTAGTTGTTTTGCTGCAAGGCAGAAGAACACTGTATATCAGCTTCCAAGTACTGCACGGAATGGCACATTAGGACAGCAAGATTTCAACTGGCAGGAATTCTGCCTCCCTGCTACCCAAATGCCATCACTTCGCTGTGAACTGCAGACAGAGCAGTTTCTAAAGCAGGATTATTTTTTAATCACACAGAAAAAAAAAAACCCAACTAGCACTATTTTCTGCTCCCCAAGATACCAGCCAGCCATTTCTAATTTTTTTTTCTAAAGCTGACACTTTATTAACAGCCATTTATGCATCCTTCTGTAGTTTATTTCAACTCTCCAAACAGCTTTAAGCAGTCATGTGGCTGCCCAGCAGCAACTTGCTACTAAAGAGGTGGTTGAACCTGGGATGTGTAGGAAGGTGATCTATGTAAACATTCCTATTAGCCCTGTACTGCAACAGGAGGAGCAGCTGCAACATGTTGGGACACACCTGAGCTATATTTAATCCATCTCTCCCTGACACCATTGCAATGACGCTGCAGACACCCAAATTTGGACAGCCAGGTCATGGTACCACTGATGCTCATCCTGTACCAGACAGTCCTGCTGCGATTTCTCTGTGTTTGAGATCCAAAATAGTTAAATAAACCAACCACCATGCCTACAGTTGTAAATACAGCTCCAGTTATGCTCTAGGCATAAAACTGCAACAGTAGGATTAGCAAGTGATACAGCAGATATTCCCCTTCCACAACAAAGACAAAAAAAAAAGAAAAGTTATTTGGGGAATAAACACTAAATCCTCAACTACAATGTGAATTCCAAACACAAATACCACAATTAGAGGCAGAATCTGAACTATGGACAATTATTCCATTTCATATTTTAGGGGTGAAAAAAGGACATTTTTAAAAAAGAGGACAACACTCCTACATTAAAGAACAACTGTTACACTGACTTTAATAGACTCTAAGTTTAAGAAGTTAATAGAATCAAAATAACTCAGAAAACAAGCCAGTAAAATATGGGACAAATAAAAATGGAGCAGCCACACATACCAAAGCAGCATTCCTGTGCCCTCCTTCCTGCAGAGCTTACAGAAGAGGATCTCTAACTCACAACTTCCACTAAATCAGTATTTCCTTCAAAAGCTCAAATCTATGGATTGGAACATCCAGTGATAAATCCAGTGACCAAATAATCCACAAGAGACAAAAAATCCCAGCAGACAAGGGCAGGAGAGACACTTCCCAGGCTATATTATCTTTCATGATAGGTTTAGGATCAGTCCTGTGTTTTCCTTATAGGCTCAACCATCAGATCCAAGAAAAGCTGCTCTCTTCTCTGAAACCTGGTAGGAATATTGGAACAGGAATATGCCCTAGCTGCTGGGAATACAACAACCTCTGTGTGAGGATTATACCAAAATGCTGGTTGGGTTATGCTACAGAGCAGCGAGAAGTGAAAATAACACATCGTGATGAAGGTGTTGACACCTGGAACCTCAGGGAGTGTTATTACCCAGGCAGTGTCGTGCATCCACTACACAGCACTCACCTTCACATCACCCAAACCTAAGCTGGCACCTCCACACCCCAAAACCACACTCCTTCCTGGAGCTGCAGACCAGCCTGTGATAAATACCTGCAGCACAAGCTTCGAGATGAGCTTCCAAATTTAAGAGGCACAGAAGGATGTTTTATAACCTTTAAGTCACTCAGCTGCAGTTTAACACTTAACAAGGCATTCACAATTCTTCTCCAAATGGGGAAAAGATTTTAAAGAGCATTTAGTGCAAGTGAAACATCCCCAGCTTTCTCCTCAGCCTCCGGTCGCTCTCCAATTAAATATGAAAGCGACAACTTAGTCTTACTGAACATGCAGGATGATTTTAAGACAGTGGTATTAAATCAAATCCCACAATTTTTCACACCTATTAAATTGTTACTCTGTCATTAGGAGGGGAGATTTTGATAAGCACTATGCAATTAACAGACAGCGCCTTTGTTACCAGGCTGCTCGTGATGAAGCCCAGGCTCCTTGACATTCCATTTCTTCCCCTCAAAGGCTCTGTGCTACAGCAAATTTATGGGTTTTAGCATGTAAGAGGAGAATTGGGCAGGTTACCTTCAAAATCAGTCAATAAGGCCCTTTCACTCAGGCTGGGGGAAGGCGGGTGGCTGCTGGAAAGCAACACAAGGCACTCCCTTCCCCCTCCCCTCAGGACCCAAAAATGCTGCGTTCAAAACACTCCCATCCCCTGCAGCAAGGGATTAGCCATTTATTAAAAAGGAATCAAAACACTGTAAAAGGCTTCCAGTTAAGATTTCATGAGAAAAAAAAAAAAGAAAAAACAAAAACATTAACACCGGTAGAACCAGAGTCACATTAGGAATTCGTCTGAGCATTGGAGAACAAGCAGCTCAAACAAGCAGGATATCGTTTGTCCCAATGATGCTGATGAAATGGTTCAAAAGAAGGACAGATTTAGATTATTTTTTTTCTTTTTAATCAGTCATTTTGCTGTCTCCACACCCAGCAGTAACAGCATTCACAACCTACCGGCATTTAGACTTTGGACTTTTAAGACAACTACCTATCTCCACGCTTGTTTTTTAGGGGATTTTTTGGCTCTTCTCTAGGGGTGACAGACAATTATAATAGCCAATTATGTAAAACCTTTCATCCGAGAAAACACGAAGCACTACGCAAACACTCATTAAGACTCTCGGCTGCAGCCTGAGCCGCACGTTCGCCTGTTCCACAGCACCCTTGGATATCTCCAGCCACCAAAACTGGATGCCGAGCGCTGTGGCACGGCCAGGACAGCGCCCAGCAGGGCAGGGCCAGCCCGGGAGTACTTACACGGCCTCGCAGGCGGGTTTTACAGCCCGCAACACGCTCCGGGCTGCTGGGGATGAGCTCTGCAGCCCCATCCAAGCCGGTTATTTAAAAACAGAGCAGAGACACACGCGGCTGCTGGGCGTTGTACGAAGCACCTCGCAGGACGAGCCTTAGACTCACTTGTCCGGCTGAGCCAAGCAGATTTTTCCAACTGGGAGCCGCATGGCATAAGTCAATAATCTGGGTTTACTGAAGAAATTAAAAGCTACGCTTATTGTTTCGAGTAAGGCCTTGGAGGAAGTAATTCCGAGAAGAAATCACTTCCACTGTAATTGTACTTTTAACCTTTCTTTAGGTTCTTACGCCATCCCCACGTGAAGGCGTCATTCAAGAATTATCACAATATCTAGTAACCATTAAAGCTCTTTTCGGATCACTGTTTATGTTTAGCGAGTTCACAACCCCTCCCTTCTGAAGGGCGAACTGATCGATGTATGAACCACGGGGGAAACCGTGCAGAAAAAACACCACCAGGAAGTGACCGCAACTTAAAATTTGGGGGGAAACCACGCGGTTTGGGAGGGGGGTTGCTTTTAAAAGAAGATCCGCGAAAAGACTGACCCGCAGAAAACAGGGGGGGCTCGGTCTCACCGGCCACGCGTGGGACGGGCGCGTTACGCAACCGCGGGGGAGCGGAGATGCTCCGCGCCGCGCACGGTGACCGGGAGCTGCGGGGAACACGGCACCGCTCCCGCCGGGCCGGGAGAGCCGCGGCAGCGCTGCCAGCGGGAAAGAGCACCACAAAACCCCCGCGGAGGCCGGGCGCTGAGGGAGCAGCGCGGACAGAATAAAGCGAGAGGGTAAAACAGAACCAAGCGGAGCGCGCTGCCCGCGGCGCGGCCCCGTCCTGCGGGCGGCAGCGGCCCCTCAGCGGCCCCGCAGCCGCCATGGCCGGCGGAGCGCGGGCGCTGCGGGCGGGCCCCGCTCGCCGCTCGCCGCCCACCTGCCCGCACCGCGCCGAACGCAGCGCCCACCCACCCACCCCTGCCGCGCCCGCGGGAGCCTACCGGGAGCAGGGCCGCAGGACGGGCCGTGGCGGAGCCGCCAGGCTCGGCTCGGCTTGGCTCGGCTCGGCCGGATCCCCCCTGCGCCCGGCGGCGGCGGGAGGAGCCGGGCGGCCGCGCCAATCCGGGGCGGAGCGGGGCGGGACGCGGAGCCGCCGGGGAGGGACGCGGAGCCGCCCCCGCGCCGCGCCAGGCACCGGCCGCCCCGCCGCGCCAGGCACCGGGGGCTCGGCTCGGGGCGCTTCCCGGGCTCCGAGCTCCTTGCAAGTGCCTGTTCGAGGCCAGCGAGTTCCAAGGCAGCTCCCGGCGCTGGCGACCCCGTGGTTCTCCGCTCTCCCCGGTTTTGCCGGGCTTGCAGCTCACCGGTGAGGTTTAGCGACCAACGTGGCACTGAAAGCCACGGGGGTGCCAGTTCCCAGCCCGATGCGGGGACACCGGCTACTTATCAGTGAGTTTAGTCTGGGCTAAAAATCTGTAAGGTCCTGTGCCGGAAGTCAAAAATTCGTTCGATAAACCTCCTGCCTTTGAAACCTACCGAACTCCCGACTGTAGGGCCAGAAATATCACAGAATCAATTAGGCTGGAAACGACCTCTGAGATCATCGAGTCCAACCCATGACGGAACACCACCCTGTCAACCAGATGATGGCACTGAGTGCCACGTCTAGTTTTTCCTTAAACACCTCCAGGGATGGTGACTCTACCATCTCCCTGGGCAGTCCATCCCAAAAGACGTGCAGGGAGGTCACTGGGAGTGTCCCTCCCTACTGGAGCCCCACCAGCGTGGTGCCAGCCTTGCCAGCTTGTTTTGCCAACGTTTCCTCCCCAGCACAATCACTAAATACCCTTTGCTGTCATCTGTCCTTGGCAGAGGCAAACAAGAGCTGCTGGTCGTGCTGTAGATGTATCCACAGCAGTGGTTTTTCATGCAAGTGTCACTCCAGCCATCTTCTCTCTGCAGTGCTCAAGAAGTCCCAGCCTGCAGAGAGAAAGAGAAGTGTACTCTGAAACCAAAGGTATTGACAACAAGAGAGAAACACAAAGAGAAGGCATTGGGAAAGGAGAATTAAGTGGTGGCAACAGATGATAGTTTGAACCTAAAAGGGTTTCTACAAGAAGGAGCTTCCCCTCTCCTGGAAAGATTTAGGCAAATCGTTTCCAGTTAGATGATGGAAGCAGGCACCTAACTGAAAAGTCCTGTTTTCTTACCACCCCAGGGAACAGCAGAAAGTTGTTCAGAGGACATTTAGGTTGGATATCAGGAAAGTGCAGAGGGTGGTGGGGCACTGTAACCATTCCCCAGCTCCAAAGCTGACAGAGCTCAAGAAGCATTTGGAATACGCCCTCAGGCACAGGGTGGGATTGTTGGGGTGTCTGTGCAGGGCCAAGAGTTGGACTGGATGGACCTTGTGGGTGTCTTTCCACTCAGGATATTCTGTGACTCTATGATTCCCTGACCTGCTGGAGGGGCAGCACTACTCACTGTCTGGTTACACTACTGAGAGGAGATCCTTGAAACTGTTCTCAAGCTAGAAAGTGTGTCAGCACAGCGCTGTGCCATGACAGTCCTGATGAGGGGCAGAGCTAATTAGCCAAGGCCCAGCATCACATTTATATGGTGTCTCAGATGGCTGAGATGAATCTCCCAAAGTCTCTGGAGCCCCTGTTGACCACAGCCACGATATATAAATCCCTCCCAGGGTGGGAGGGAAGATAGAGGTGAGTTGCTGAAGGCCAAATATTAGACAAGGACAGGACAGAAAACAGATCCTACTGTTCTCACCCCTCCAGTACTTTCTCCTCTGAACTGTAACAAACCACAGAACAACAATGGGATTCAGCTTCTGCTGACACAGTAGTCTCCTGTGTTCCACGGGAAAATTCTGTGTTTTGGTATAGGATCAAATGCACATGGGAATAAAACCTATTTACTAGCATGGCCCCACAGTTTGGTGACATGCAGTTAGATGCAAGATATCCCCAGGTGACTTAAAGGGGAATGAAATATCTGTCCTGTCATATTAGAAAAAGGTCTCACAAAGGCATGGCCCCAATCTTTTGTTGTAAATTGATAAATTGATAAAAACTGCCATTTGCTGCTAAGTGACTTCTAATGATTAAACAACCTTTCTCCTCTCACCCCCTCGAGGCAGTTAGTGATAATATAAGAAAGATTTTGCACATTGTTTAGCTTAAATGGCCATCTGGCCCTTCTGCATTTCAGTAGCCTTGAACATTAAAATAAAACAATAGATAAAGAAAACCAGTCCCATCTTATCAGAGACCTGGAGAAGTTTAACTCTGTCAGAGCAAAGAGAATTAACCAAGTCCTTACAGCTCTTTTATTGTTTCCATCCTAATTAGCAGTCATATTCCTCACAGCTTGTGTTGTACTCCCTAAACCAAGAGGAGAAACTGTCCCTTACTGGCTGTATTAATTTTAACCATGAAACACAATTCCAGCAGTTCCATTTAGCTTCCACAGGAGGTGTTCTGCCCCTGGGCAATGGAGACACAATGGAGGCACATGCCAAAAAAAGATACAGGTTTTCTGCCAAAATTAAACAAACAAACAAACAAACAAACAAACAAACAACAAAAAAATCCCAAACTGGAATTATTGTGCAAGTAGGGAAAAGGATGCTCTTTTCAGAGGAAAATGTAATGGTCTTGGCCTAACTCAAAACCTACTTCCTGATGCTGAGATTTCATCTAATCCCACCCCACTGAGTGGTTTCTTCATCTGCTTTTGCTCAAGGGGATAAAAACACAATTTCCCCAAAGCAACCCATTCAAAGTCACTGGAAACAAAAAAAAAAAAAAAAAAAAAAAAAAAAAAAAAAAAGTTTGGTCTCAGCTTATGGTTGGTTTATGGTTGAATCCAGCATTTCTTCTGGAGTAAATCCCCACTCCCCTCTGCCATGGAAAAAAAACTAAGAAGGGTTGAGTTTGTTTGGAAAGAAGTGTGATATCCTTAAGAATGTGGCCTTGGGCTTTGAAGAAAGAAGCCAGCTGAGGATGCTTTCACCTGCAGTGCTGGAGCAAGTTTGTGAGTGAAATCTCTAGCAGCAGGGAACATTTGGTGTAAACACCCTGTAAATAACAGAGGATGCACAGATATGCTGAGATAAAACTACTCAACCTGTGTTCCCAAGTGCACTTTTCATGCTGACATTGCTAGTTTGCATTTTTGTGAAAGCTGGGAGCTTATAAATGTGCTACAACATCCAGCTTTTGGGTATCAGCTGCCAGAGTGCAATAGAATCTCCAGAGTCAGGTACCTTATCCTATTTATAGCCAGAGAGAGACACTTCCCAAGGGCAAGTGGAAACTCCCACCTGGGAGCAGAGACCAGGGAGAAGGAAACATCAAAGGAGGGATGTATTAAAGTCACTTTGCATAGCCAGTGTAGGTGTTTCCATCAGCTCAGGATCCCAGGCCCACACATTGGGGTTTAGGAGTCTGTCAGTGCTCTTTGAAGGATTGGAGCAAAAACAAATTCTGTTTAACACCGTGGGTGTCAAGGTTGCATTTGATGTTGTTTGTTGTATGTGCTGATCTGAGGGTGGAGAAATACCCAGGAAAGGGAAGGCACTCTCCAGGCTCATCCAGGTGAGGGTCCAAACATTTCTCTCTACCTGCTTGGACCATGGCATCCTCCCAGGTGACAAGCTGAGGCACTGTGGGGGGTGACTTCTTCCCATTCCTGGTAAAAATGGGCTGCAGAGCAAAACAAACCACACAGAACAGAGCAAGAGGCTTAACTGTGTTTCCTAGTTGCTCCAAGACAGGAATTTCACTTCTGTTTTCTGCTCCTAGAATTTGTTCTGGTTTTCAACTAGCAAGCACTTCAGCTGAAAAGCCTGAGCAGAAATGGGAACAGCAGCCAATGCATCAAAATGAATTTGCTGTCCAATACTTGATTGAGAGGTTATCAATTGAATTTGGCAACCTGTGCCCTCTGCAGTGTTTTATTTTGCCTACAGAGGATTTTCTTTGACTGCATGTAAGTGGCTGTGGGGTACAGCTTTATAACTCCATTTACCTGTACTTTCACCAAAAACATGATCAGAAAATGTAATTATTTCAGGGCTAAATTTGAGGATAGATTTCCCCACACACTCCGTATTGCACTTGATATGTGCAAGGGTGGGGAGAATCACCTTCACAAAGAATAATATTCTGTGTGAAGGAATGAAGAGCAGAAGGAGCAAGTTAGCAGATTGCCACATAATGATCTCCTCAGTACAAAATGTATGGGATAATGACAGTTATATTGCCAAGAAATAAAGATATTCAAATTGGTTCCCAAACCTCAATGGCTAAAATGGGATATTATCATAAAATCATCAGGTTTGTATGAGAACAAGGAGTTCAACCTTTCAGGCATGGCTAATACATGCACAGGATAATGAGTTTAGAATTTCACATCCCTTGTTTATTTCTATGAAATGGTAATATGTTTATTCCTCTTAACACAATATTTCTCTTAGCACAATAAAATCAGTAGCAATCAGGAATTTGGCTGGAAAATACCTGATCTGAGTGTTTTAAATGATATTACTTTAAAATCTTAGCATTATTCAAACACACTGAGGCCCTTGTAGTGACCTAAATATTGTCACTGGAAGGTGTCTCTGCAGCATGTGAAGGAACCCCATTCTGGCTGTAACCTACCTGGCTCAGGTAACGCCTGCAGAGGTGCACAGCAAGCCCAGGGCAGGTACTCAGGTTCCTCAAGGGCCCACAGCTGTGTTATCACTCCTCTTGTTACTTCAACTCCTGAGATTAAGCCCAGGCCACAGCAAAGCTTCCCAAATTCTGTATGGACACCCACAAGAGTGAAAATAAGCAAAGGTATCAGTCCACATGCTCCAAGGAGCAAACAAGTCTTGTTTCAGCACATTGAAGTATGCAGTAAGAACAAAACCCCAATTTTTGGTTGAAATGATGACATTCCTAAATTCACTTTCTCCCTAAAACTTGTGTTTCAGCATGGCTAATGTCATTGGACTATATCCTGATATAAGGTACAATTGCTGATGTCCTCAAATTCCACTGCCATAGAAGAAAAAGAGGAGTAAGAAAATCAGCAAATCCCGAGGATTGCATTGGATTGGACTCTGTACACTCCACAGAGCTGAGCTCCCGTGGTTCTGTTTAATTGGATCTTTTTCAAACCATCACTTTGGCAGCACTCAATAACCTCCATACTGATCTTTTATTATCTCTAACAAATAAATGACTGCAGGATTAGGCTGGATGGTCAATATTTGTGACCTTTGCTGTAACCTTTGTCAGTCTGTGCAGAAACAGGGTGACTCTTCCCGGACTGCTCCAGTCTGGGATGCCCGGAGCCACTCACCCTGCTTGCTGCCGTGGGGAACAGCTCTGTTCTCTTATTGTGGTGCTTAATCCATTTATTTCTGTCTTAAAATCTCATTTTTATACAAGATTACTGATATATTTGTGTAACGCCGGAGGGGATCCCGCATTTTCGGGCTGCTGGAAGGGCAGGGCTGTCTGCCGCTGACCACCGCTCCTGCTACTCAGCAGTTTCTCGTTTCCAAACCCTTTTTTTTTTTTCTCCAAGCGTCGTCCCCATTTTTGCAGTGCCACCAAGCGGATGGTTCCCCCGTCAGCATTTGAATTTCCCACTTCTAAACAAACAGAGAACTCTCCGGTAGTTGAGCATTGTGTTAAACGCAACCCACCTCAGCAAACCGCGGGGTTGGTGCGATGGCAGGAAATAAAGGGTCGTTAATAAAAACCACTTTCATAATGTGTTTGTGGCCCTTTCAGACTTGTGAAGACCAGGTTTCGGCTCCTCAGGAGGTGGCACAACGCGGATATTAAGGTGTGGATACAGATCTTGTGGGCTCCCCGGTTCAGGAGAGACGTGGAGCTCCTGGAGTGGGTGCAGGGAGGGAGGACCGCGGGAATGGAGCATCTCCTTGCCCAGGAAAGGCTGAAGGAGCTGGGGCTGTTCTGTCTCCAGAGGGGACCTGATATTTGTCTGTCCCTACCTGCAGGAAGGGTTCAGAGCCAGGCTCTGCTCCAGGGGGCAGCAATGGCACCAGAGGAACGAGCAGGAACTGATGCCCACAGGTTCCACCTGAACGTGAGGAAGAACTTCCCTGTGAGTGACTAAGCCATGAAGAGACACCAGAGAGGGTGTGGAGTCTCCCTCACTGCCGATATATAATATAGATATATAAAAAGATATTCCCGATCCGTCTGGACACAATCCCGTGCCCTGTGCTCAGGGATGACCCTGCTGCAGCAGGCAGATGGGGCCAGATGAGCCACTGCCGTCCTTTCCAGTTCTGTCCGTTTTGGGATTCGGTGGGTGGTGGGAGGGCTCATCACTATCCCTGAGTCCTGCTGGCAGTGAGGGCTTTGGAAGCCCAAACGGGCGTCAGGTGTCCCCGGGCACAGGTCACCCTCAGGCACAAACGACCCCCGCCGCCATCTTAGCGCCCTCAGCGGCTTCACCTCCCTCACTCCGCCAGCCAATGAGCGACAAGTATGAGCGGGGCATTTCCCCAAACAGCCAATGGGAATTAAGCTTGTCATCGGGCGACCAATGAGCAGCCAGCTGTGGCGTCCCGGCGCTGCCAATCACCGCCCACGGTGAGGCCAAAGGGAGCGGGCGGCCCGCGCTGGCCAATGAGCGTTGGCGGGTGAGATTTGAAAGCGAGGCGGGGCGGTGCGCGAGGGGCTGCGCGGGGCCGGGACGGGGACGGGTAATGGCGGGCCCGGGGGGCTCGGGGGTCCCGCGGCGGGGTTTGGGAGTCCTGGAGGGGCTGTGAGCGCTCAGGGGAACCTTATTGTGCTCCGTAAGGGGTCCCGGCGTGGGGGTCTCGCCTGGCGGTGGGCTGGCAGCGGTGCGTTGTCTCTGAGTTGAGGGAGCACCGGGGGTGCTGGCGGGGAAGGGGCTGAGGGGACAATCCTGAGGCGACCCCGCACAGCCGGGCCCGGGTGTGCCCCACAGGCTGCTCCGACCCCCGCGGCCCGTCTCGAAACCGTTGAGTCCAGGCTTTGCTCAGTCTCTCTTTAAAAGTAGCGGTGTTTGCGCTTCCTGCTCTGTTTTCTCACTATTCAGCCTAAAATGTTTTCGTGCTCGTTTTGCTCTTTGGTTCTTAAGGTGTTGTTGGTCAAAAGTGTCTTTTTTCCATGATCAGCTTTAATTTTTGGTACTATACATTAGCCAGTCACAAATCCTTTGTGTAAGCCTTCTGTCCCTTTCTTGCTAATAGTTTTTACTTGAGTTTATGCCAATTTAAATACCAATTAATCTTCTAGGTTTCTGTTTGGGCAAGATACTCCACGGGAACAGTAACCTGGGAAGAAGAGGAGACAGGTATTTTTGTTCTAAACACAGCTTTGGGATATTGAGCATGACATACTTTTTTAATGAGCAAGGTAACCTTGTTGTATGTAAAGAACATGGTTAAGGGTGCATTTAGGAACTTTGTACTGAAAAAGGATGAGTGTAGAGACTAAACTGCTGCTTTGAGCAATATTTATTATCCACTGGGCTCAAAAGCCCGCTGCTTCTAGGACACAGATAGGAGAGATGTATTCCCACTGTTTTCTTCATGGCTTTCTGTAATGCCATGTAATTGCTAATAATTCTGTAATTACTAGCAGGATCAGTTCAAATGTGATTATTGGAGATGCTTATTAATTAACCTCCCTTAATCACTTAAATGTAAAGCAGGGCAGATATGACCTATGAGCTGCAGTGGAGTTTTTTGCACTCTTCATTAGCTGGCATTTTTAATCAATTTCTGAAAGCTGGAATGCAAGATGCAGGGTGAAGCCCAAGATATTCACAATTTGGGTGGTGCTGGTGTGGACCAGCTCTTCCAGGATTGTGTGGAGGAGATCCAGTCTCTGATTTGAGTTTTGATTTTTATTCCCCTTTGCTCTTTAACTTCCACTGACCATTTTTTCTCTCCTGAAAAAAATGAGTACAATGTACTGATTTTGGTTTCTGTCCAAGCAATTTTTGGTTTCTGTTCTAAGCAATTCCAGGAGGTTGTGCAGGTGCTGTTGGTGCAAGTTTCTCCCTCCATAAACACTTTCATGGAGTGGGGAACAGGGAGCTGCCACTGCCAGCACTGATGGCACCTGGACAGGCTTGGGCTGTATTCTTTCTTCCAACAGCTCAGGTTCTCTCCTTGGTTGCTTTTCCTGTAAATATATTCAGTATTTTTCTGCATTATTTATATTTTGCTGCCTATTTTCCTTCTAAGATTTGGGTTTTCCAGCTAGGCTGCTGGTTGAGTATTTGGTTTTTGTTGGCAAATAGATGGGGGGGGATGGACACCCATTGTCCAAATCCTGCACACCCATTGTCAAGGCTTTTCAGTTCACTGATGGTTCTTTCAGTTTGATCAGAGCATGCTGTCCTGAAATGAAGAGCCTCAGTAAATGATTAATTTACCAATGAATTAATAACTGCTGGGTGTTTAGTTTAGCTCTGTCACCCTGCTTACTGTAAAGCTGTTTTCTGTAAGTGGTGGAAGATGAGATGTGGGAGGGGGAAAACCCTTGACAAGGCAAGTTTCAGTGGGAATGCAGGGGATAACAGAATCCCAGAATGGTTTGGGTAGGAAGGGCCCTTAAAGCCCATCTTGTTTCCATCCCCTGCCATGAGCAGGGACACCTTCCACCATCCCAGGGTGCTCCAAACCCCATCCAACCTGGCTTTGAACACTTCCAGGGTGGGGCAGCTAAAGCAGCTTCTCTGGGCACCCTGTGCCAGGGCCTCACCACCCTCACAGAGAAAACTTTATTTCCAATATCCCATCTATCCCTGCCCTTTGTCTGTTTACATCCATTCCCCCTTGTCCTGTCATTCCAGGCCCCCTCCACCTCTCCTGGAGCCCCTTTAGGTTCTGTTAGCACAGCAAGTGCAAACCAACTGACAATTGGCTTAAGGTTTCCCCAGGGTAAAAAAAGATGGGAAAAATTCTGCTTGAAATAACCACTATTGTATTGCAGTTGCATCCTGGAAACATCCTGGTTGTGAGTACTCTGCTGCATGGCAAAATTCCTTGCTATCAGATAGGCCTAATCTAAATGGAATGTTGCTTCCAAGTATTGTCCTACAGCCCTGTCATTTACTTGCTCATCTCCTTAATGTGGAAAACAGCTGTGGAGAAAGTAGCCCAGCCAATCCCAGGTGTGAATGCAGTGTCCCCTCCTAATTCTGTGCCAGGCTTGGTGACCACTCAACACCCAAATTGCTCCCTGGAATGGATAAAAATAATGAGAAATTGCTGAAAGAGTCGTTGCTGAAATTGTCATTTGAGTTTTTTCTGGTCACATAGAAAAATTAAGAATTCAGTGTTTTGCTCATAACATTAACAAATTGGAAAATAAACCATGACAGTGTTTTCCTAATTGCTGTGATTGTTGTCTAAGGTTATCAGGATGGCTGCTACTTCCCAGTTTGCCAATAGATACAAGAAGGATTTGAGTACAGAAGCCCTCAGAACCAAGGTTGCCCGCAGGAAATCCATCCTTCAGAAGGAGAACAGGCACAAGCTCTTCGAAAAGGGCCGGCAGCTCGGGCTGGCAGATGTCAATGCTCAGCCCTCCAAGGAGAGGGCAATTCCTGAGCTCAAGGAACCCAGGGAGTTGTGCTCTCAAGAGAACAGCAGTGTGAAACAGAGTAAGTAAAGAATTGCTGTAGACATTTTTTTTAAGTGTTAAAAATTATAAGTAGGTTTAGTAGCATTATCACAGAAACCTACTAGCAGTCAACACTTTAATTTGACGAAACCTTCAAGATTTAAAACCCTGTCAGCCTTTCCAAGTGTTAAAATCAAGACAATAAAATCTTAATACCCTCCTCACTGCTCCAGTGGTATGAATGAAGCTTAGCTTTGATTTGTCTGCAGCAGCTGAAGGAAGAATGCATTTTGTTATTAATATTCAATAGAAAGTGTCTCTATGTTTGCTTTGTCCTTTAGGATGTGGAAAACTCCAGTCTAAAATACCATCTAGCATGTAACTGATGCCTGTCATGTGCTTAGAGGGTGCTTAGCAATGGACAATTTTATATTATATATACAATTATTAATGGGTAAATGCATAGTATGATTTTATTTTGAAAATAGCTAATTTATGACAACTTATTTTTCTCTCAGAAAATAGAGCCTGCATATATGCTGAATTCTGCCCCCTGGCTCTCCTGGATGCTTGTGGTCTAAGAAATTAAGTTAATGTTTTAAAATATTAACAGGTTTTTTTTTTAGAAACACCTTCACCTTTAGTATTTTGATAGCAGAAGATTATTGGAGGATAGTAATTTTTTGAAGATTATTGGAGTGCAGTCTGTATGTAATAGTACCAAATATGAAATTTAATACATTTGTCTTGATTATCTTTCATAAATTTCAACTTTAAGTGGATATTAATTTTTCAGGTAGAAATAATTCAAGTTTGGCAACATCTTAAGGTTTTATTCTTTCATATAACTTCTGCCTCATTTATTCTCAGCCTGAGTCAGACTTTGGTATCTGAAGCTGAGTTTTCAATGACATTGCAATTGTTTGAATAGAGAAACTGGTACAAATAAACCAAATAAAAAGATGAGGTGTTGATTTTCATAGCAGTAACCTTGCAAGGCTGTGAAATGGGAGTGAGTTTATAGTAATCCTCAGGTGGATATTTAGGCAAGTCTATTTGTAAGTTGAAATTTACAATTGAATTCCCTTTTAGTGGGAAGGCTTAAAATGCTTGAGGGATTCCAGTCAGTTCTGCTCTTCTTCTCTTACGTTCCTCTTCTAGCTGGGCAAAGTTTATTGGAAATTTCTGACTTGTTGGTTTAAAAACCACCTTCATGATTTTGTAACACAACTGTCTTGCATGCCTGCTGCAGAAGCAGCCCCAAATGCAGCCACCAAGAGGATGAACGAGCGCAGGGAGATGCTCCAGCGCTACAAGGAGGAAAAGGAGCTTCGCAAACTGCAGGAGCAGAGAGAGAGAGCCAAGAAAGGGGTGTTCAAGGTTGGGCTGTACAGACCAGCTGCACCTGGATTTCTTGCACTTGCTGCTGAGGAACCTGCAGCAGCAAAGCCAAGAGAGAAGGTAACAGTGGTAATATTTCATATCTAAATTAGTTGCATCTGTGTACTCTATTTGTGTACAAGATTATTCCAAATAAGCTGTTTATATTGCAAATGCTTTGTTAATGTTA